AAACATAAAGGTCCAATAAAACAACCCACAATTTTAATTCAAAGGTCAATATTTGAAAAACATGTAATAATTTCAGTACAAAGGTCGCACTTTAATAAAACAACCCACAATTTAAAATTCAAAGGTCAACATTTGATATAACAACTAATAATTTCAGTACAAAGGTAGCACTTTAATAAAACAACCCACAATTTTAATTCAAAGGTCAACATTTGATAAAACAGCTAATAATTTTAGTACAAAGGTAGCACTTTATTAAAACAACCCACAATTTTAATTTAAAGGTCAACATTTGATAAAACAACTAATAATTTTAGTACAAAGGTTGCACTTTGATAAAACAACCCACAATTTTAAATCAAAGGTCAACATTTGATAAAACAACTAATGATTTTAGTACAAAGGTTGCACTTTAATTAAAAAAAAAACACAATAGTTATTTAAAGGTCGACATTTGATAAAACAACTAATAATTTTAGTACTAAGGTTGCACTTTAATAAAACAACCAACAATTTTAATTTAAAGGTCAACATTTGATAAAATAACTAATAAATTTAGTACAAAGGTTGCACTTTAATAAAACAACCCACAATTTCAATTTAAAGGTCGAAATTTAAGCTCATAAATTTAAAATAAACATCGAACATTGATAAAAAAAAAAAACCAAAAAGACCAAAACAACACAATTTGAATAGAAAGGCCAAACTTTAATAAAGCAACAAATAATTTTAATATAAAGATCGAACTTTAAGAATAAACAACCCAGAAATTTTAATTTAAAGGTCGAACTTTAATAAAACAACCAATAATTAAAATATAAAGGTCGAACTTTAAAGATGGGTTTCCTTATTTTTTAGTGTAAAATTAAGTAAACGATTTTATTAATTGGTGTTTCTAATGATTTATCATGTAATCTTAATCATATCATTATGTCCTTATTGTTTATAATTAAAACCAATCATAAATGTCCATGTACGTACAGTCTGGATAAACAAAAAAATGACTTTTTGACCTTTCTTGATCGGTCACTCATTGGAATTCTGCTGGTAATTCTCTTCTAAATTAGCTAATTATGAATTAATTATGGACATGTGAGACAAACTGGTATTTTTCCAAGTCAACACCTCTAGTTTCTATTCATATAAGAATTAGCATTTTCATTCTCATAAATGAAAATAAGGGAACCCATCTTTAATAAAACAACCCACAATTGACGACTCGTCATTTTAAAATACTCTGTGATATATAGAAAAGACGTATATAGAAATAGTAAGTAAAATTCCCTGTTTTTTTGAAGGAATTGTGCGATTTTCTAACATTTCTAGTACTTCTGATGACTATTTACGTATATTCAAGACTAAAATCAAGCCCTGAAAATGGCGCAGCTGTCCCCTTCATAAAACAACAAATAATTTTAATATCAAGGTCGAATTTTGATAAAACAGCCAATAATGTGCACATAAAAGTCAAAATAAAAAAAAAACAGTCCAATAATTTGAATAACGTCTTACATGAGTCTTACATCAAGGTCCATCTTTAAAAAATGATTTAAAAAAGTGATTTTAACATGGTTTAATTTGTTCTATATATATAAACTTTGATAGATTCATTCATATATTATATTATTTATCACTGATATTTATATAATCTTATTTATACGCCTTTACCGGAAGCTGTAACATCTCAACACTTTCAGAAATTTTTTATGACTATTTTCTATCATCTTCATCATACTAAGATCTCAATGTAATACTATGTTCAAATTTAAAATTGAGTTCTGAAATGGTGTTTGGTTGGAAAAAAATAAGGATGTGCATTCTTGTTAGAAATGTCTAATGTCCATAGTGTGTCTGTCTGATGGAACTTTTTACCATTTTGACTGCAATTTGAGTAATATACTTTTAAATATTAACATGTATTTCTACATTGTATTGTATTTTAGAAAAATAAATGTTCTTGCTGTATCGTAAAACAACATGGGGCGATGAATTCTGGAAATTGAAAGGTTGACTAAATACTAGCCTACTGTACTTGCGACGTTTGTTTGTTTTCGAAAACCTGATATTCTGAAGATGATTTTCCGGATCCATTGATGTAGGTGACTTAAAGAGAAATAATTTGTAGGCGGTAAAACTTTGTATATATTATGTCAAAAGATAAGTTGTCAATGAACATCAACATGAAAATGATAAGTGAGCTGACTAAGTAAATTCTATGTATATCTGACCACATCTTGTCATTGAACTGTAGTTTAAATTCCTAACATTGTCAGTAATGACGTAAAAAAGACTATATCATGAGCTTATTTATAAGCTTGCTGGCCATTGGATGAAATTGATAACGTCCATTTCACCATTAAAATATGTTAGCAGAAGAGATTAGGTTGTTTTGAAAAGATTTCCATGTCAGATTAGCCGTGAAATAAATGGTTTGAAGACAACAATTATGATAACGACACCTAGAAAAGATGGTCTTGTCAAAATAAAAAATTCTTAAAAAGAAAAGCGAGATCGACAAAATTATTTGGTCAAAGTCCAAATTATTAAATGGGAGTTTTCTTTTGGGTGTGGAGGTGGAAAAAGTTGATCTATTATCATCTACAAAAATTAATTAACAGAAAGTACTTGCGAGTTTTGAGTTTCCCAAAGATACAGGTCTAGGATTGAACACATACTAAAACCTATTGAGAAATTGGAAGAGGTGGTTTAGATCGTATTTTCCTTCTGTCAATCTTCATTATTTCTGCAAATATATGGCCTAAATATTTTTTTCGTCATATCACGAAATTAAAACTCTGTCTAAGACCATAAAAACATGTATTTCCATATTCATTTTTGGATTATCATGCATAGCTTTTAAGAATCTTGTTGGATTCGGTGCTAATTTTGTAATTGGTTCAAACTATCTAACTGTATAACCTTTTAAACTAAGATTTTGATTGTAAAAGATGACCCATGACAATTACAAGATTGTTTTGTTTTTTACATATCTTTTTCTGCAACGATGCTATGAAAAACCTATGCGGGATAATTTAGATGTTAACGATAGGTTTCTTATTCAAATTACAATATCACACGAACCTAGTTGTTACAGAGTAATAATTAAAACTTTTAGCGAGAATAATGTGAAAATCTATGTTTAAATCAGATTAATAAGTTACGATTAAAGACTTGTAGAAAGATGAGTTCAAGCTAGATAATTGAGTTTTAATTTTAAGAGGGATTGGCCCTCAAGCATTGAACATGTTCTTCTGACACCGATACGTATTTAACACAATTTGGGTGGTCTGTCGTTATATACAGATAAACAGTGGTTTGTGTAAGTATTTGCCACTTTTTCTCATATAGGCTCAAATAGAAATACAAACGATTGAAGTTTTATATGCTACTTTCTGAATCTTACCATTTGATTTTACAGTATGAAATGGAGTTTTACGTCCAACTTTGCGGCATCTAATATGATTAACAGAGACTGACAACGACGACCTAGCCTCCACTTTTCTGTGTCAACATCTCCGACCTTTTTTATAAGCTGAACAGTCTATTTGAAGGTTCATGTGTCTTCTAGGATATAGTTTGTTCTAATGCCGGCTCATCATATTGAACCCTACCAGCTACAAGGGCACATAATTAGAAGACTCTGCCCCTTCAAGAAACTTCAGAGAAGCTACATGAAAAATTTATATGTGAAGTTTTTTTTGCAAAAATTATGTACCGTTACATTTTTTTTTTTTTTTTTTTTTTGGACTTTACAGTAACCATATATCATTTTCTCACTTAAACGTATATTACTTATACACAAACTTCCGAAAATGAAACAAAAAACAGACTGTGGTCTATGAAGTTGTTGTATTCTAAGGGAAATAACCTATGTTCAATAAGAAACTCAGACAACAGAGAAATCGACTTAGCGAAAATGTAGGGAAATAAATCTCACTTTTACGAATTTTGAGCAGAGAAGTAAAATATTCGTTTCAAACGAAAGTTTATCACACCCTGCGTCGATTTCAGTCACAAACAGACAGTCGTAATTTTTTCAAACTTTCGAGAAAATCAACTTTGAAGTATCACAAGAGATTCCTGGAGTAAAAATGCTTTAGCAGGTAGACTATGCATGGTAGGAACTTGAAACATTACAACATAAAGAGTGGGCATGAATTGGGAGCTAGTATATAGAGAGGCAGGAGAAGAAGTGATACACAAAGAATAGATAGCTTCGGGGATAGATATAGTGAATGAAGGTACTGGCGTAAAGAGGAAAAGGCATAGGGTGAGTGGACGGTAGAAAAATGAAAAGAAGTGTGAAGGATTAGAAAAAGGGGAGACGACACGGGATAATGATGAACATAGAGGAAAATCAGACTGCAGTGGACATAAATAGAGGGGACCCTATATAGTGTGTTCTTTTACATTGAGAGGTACATATTGTATCCCCGTGCAATGCAATGCTTCGAATGACAGTACTCTGAAGACTAATCATTAAAACAAGTTAAGTTTGGCATTAAATTAGTCAATTTTTAAATAAATTGAAGATAATTCTATATGGTTCATTGAGAATATGAAATTAATTTAATAATGAATATTATTCGGACAGAATAGAATTATATTAGACTAAATTTTAGTTGGTGCATGTATAGGGGTCAACATATTACTGAATAATGTATAATGTCTCACGTTAAACAAATAAACAATACACAATCTGTATGACCCAATAATTATAGTTCGGCGGCCCAAGTTGATCTGACCTTTCCCCAATGGGTCCAGGTTAAAAACTCGGTTGGCATAATTTGCATATTTGCTTGTTACTCAGTGTTTGTAGTCACAAAAACTTTAGCGCCATTCCGCATTAAGACTTTGTTCCAGTACTTTCATTCATACTGTCATTGATTTGTGTTTAATTGTGATTATCAGAAGTGTATTTCCAAGTTTTTTCATATTGAATATTTTGTACTTTCCTCCTTAAAGTTGCTAACTATAAATAATTCATTCTCTGGGGCGAACTATGCAGGAGTGAGAACAACAACCTTTATTCTCAAGTAGACGCGATAGAGTGTTATGTTACCGCGATTTATAGGCCAATACATAGCATCACGAGAACCCATCAAGTCACTTTCACTACATCTCGAATCATTAGCATACCACCAACTACCGTGACGATTATTAGCACAGTTAAAAGAGGTTTGATCCAATCCAGGAGATGAGAAAGGAGATCCTTCTATGTTCACTACTTCTTTAAGTGAGTCGCCACAATTCTTTTTTAATATCTGATACTGTCCAAGATGTATTGGATACCCACTCGATGCCGCTCCAATGGTAAAATCATTATAATTACTTTCGCAATAAGTTTTATGATTAAGAACAACTGATAGCTTACTGCGTCCGTGGTTGTCTAAAACTTCCTTGATTCTTGTCAGTCCCAGCCAGTGATCACCGTTAGCATCTCCAAAACCATCAATATATTCTGTAATGTTTCTGTTGAAGTTTAACTTGTTGCACATAGTATCACGTAACATGAATTGAGTACAACCTCCAAATCACATACTACCTCGAATGCACTAACTGAGGCTGTTGGTTTGATGTAAGAACGTACCAAAGTGCCAAAAATGTCCCATCCTCGATCATCAGAACAATCTGTAAATGAAAACTAATTTTTGTCCGCTTATCAGACAGTTCGATGAAAGTATTAGCTCTATATGTACTGCAATGGTAACGTCTTCACAATGTCAAGATAATGCGTCTTAAACATCGACTGCAATAACATCCTTTCTTGTATCACAGAATGAAGCGATTTGATTGGATTGGACGCCAATGGATACAGTCAATCAGAGCCCTCGACAGAAAGATTGTAAACATTATTGCTTATGTCGAGGACTCGAAGATTAGCTGTATTCGCTTAGGTACAATACAACAAAATCGCTGCAAAAAGCAACTTCCGTGATACAAGTAAGGTGTCTTATGTTAGTAATATGACAGCGTGAAGATGCAACAGGAATATCTTACCTTTAATGGTATTTTGACAGTTGTCACCATATAAACCTATAGGACAAATCGCTTTATTATTCACCTTACTGTATGTCTAGAAAACAAAATATAAGGAACATTTGAGAAATTCTAACAATTCTGTGTTTTATCGTTAAAGGATGAGTTTCAACTGTGTTATATGATTTTATCCATTTAAAGATTCAAATAGTTCTACTAGATTTAGACACGATGTATATCTCGGTTCCGATCCTGTGGAAATAATTTCCCTGACTTATATTCTTGACCAACCAAAAGAACTAAAGGCTCCAGAAAAAGCTTCACGATGAATAATACATAGTTTAGGATTATGAAATCTACCACAACCACGTTTGCAATATGACCAACAAAGTTTCAATAACTTTTTACACAGCAATACATGTTACAAATTCTCAGATGCTGTATATACAGAGTACTACTTGAGATGCTCCCGTGGAATCATACAATTGTCAAGAACCAACGACTTCTAGATTTATATTGAATTGTTTTAATACCCTTTCATTCATGCATTTCAGATTGTATATTTGTAAATACCTTGTGTGGAATATTTGTATTAAATATTACCTTCATAAAGCAGGAACATCCAGAAGGTTGTGGAGTCGCACAGTTTTCTCCTTCTATATATAAAGAACATTCAATTCCGTCTTGGTGAGTGCAAATCATCATTCTTCTACAGTTAAAATTCTGTGAACAATCCCGAGCACATAACAAAGGACTATCATACATTGATACGGATAAAACCTGAGTCAGAGAACAACTGTCATTGAGAACTTTAGTGGCTCTAAATTCAGAAATATCCGTCGAACTGAACACGAGTAGGACAAAATCTAATAAAATAACAACTATAGCTTCGAATTGCATCTTGTAGTTGTAGACCTTCGAATATCAAATTTGTTCGTTGAACTACATCATATATTTACACGTAAACATGTCATCAGTGAGAAATAGGTAGAATGCTTTTTAGATTTATAATGTTAAACGTGGATTCCCCACGAGTCAAAAATTTTTGATTAATTTCAAAGACCATTATGTTAGTACCCCGTGATCTTTTTGTAGGTAGTTGAACTAATGCTTTTAAACTTATCCCTGTATTTTCACTATTTTTATCACATATTTATGTATATCAATTGAAACGTCTTACAAAGGATTCGTTAAAAAAAATGGAATCCATTTTTACAATCATCCGAAACGCTTTTGGCCTAATGAAGTCTCCCGTGGTGAAATAAAAAATAAAAGCTGTTCATTATCTTATCAAGTAGCGCACCAGTCTTGAAAATTATAACAATGCTTTACAGAATTATTTTCAATAGTTTAAAATATAGTTTCCGAGATAGCAAAATCAAAACTCAACGGACAAGCGATCCGTAGCTTTTGTTGTATTATGTTCTTTATTATAAAGAGAGTTGGGGAAGGTCTGCTGTTAAAGGCACTTCTGTTTTTATTTATTTCGAAAACAATTAGGCTGTGTAGATATAATTATACTTACATTGGTGGAATCAGGACTGTTTTGAATAATTTGAAACTCAGATCTATGCCCACATGTACCACATGCAGTCTGAATTCCAATTCTACATCTCTGATAGTTTTAGAACGGCAGACTTTCTGTAATGATTTTACCCAGAACTGTGCAATCAAACTGTCGTAAACGGTCGGGGCTGGTGTCAGACCTCATTCCAGACTAAATTGGCCATTACTTTTCCAACTTTGACGCGAGAGATATAATTTTGTTTTCAAATGAAAGTTTATCATGCCCTGCGGTTATATCAATCTAAACTAGAAATCGGAATTTAAAACTTTTGAGAAAATCGACTTTGAAGTATCACCCCTTTTCAAAAGAAATATCCCATGGAATTCTTTTGCTAAAAGTGTCCTGAAGTAAAAGTGGTATATTACGGGCAGACTTTAAAGTACCACCCCTATTTTCACGAGAAAAAAAACCCCGAAGGCTGTTTACTGGAAACGTCTGTAGTCGGCAGATTATGCTCGGAAAGAACTTAGGAACTTGAAATTTAGAACAATTTCAGATCTGTGCTCACATGCAGTCAATTTTACATCTCTGATTGATTTCAAACGGCAGTCTGTCAAAATTTGGGGTTTTTACCAGGCTAGTGCCTGACCTCTCCTCCAAAATAAGGTAGCTTGCCACTCATTCATAAACTGTACTCTCTATTGTGTTCACAAACAAATTTTGACGCGTTTTTCAAAAGTCAAGGGCAATAACTCAAAAACCGTTCATCGAAAGATCGTCAAATTCGAACTTGTCCAAGATCTCATTAATATAAATGATCACACCAAATTTCATTCAAATCAGATAAAAACTGTTGTCTCTATTGCGTTCACAAGCCAAGTGTGGACGGACGGACCGACGGGCAGGGGCGACGACAATATACGACGTTCATTGAAAAATCGTAAAATTAAAACTTGAAAGAGATCTTATCAATTCCAGTGCTCGTACCAAGTAAGTTTCATCAAAATCCATTGAAAATTGTAGTTTCTATTGTCCCACAACAAATTTTCGCGTGATTTTACTAAGCCAAGGGCAATAACTTAAATCTGTTTGTCGAAAAGTCTTCAAATTCGAACTTGATGGAGATCTTATCAATTCTAATGTTCACACCAAGTTTCATCAGAATCAGAAAAAAGGTGCTGTTGCGGACAGACTATGCACTTTAGTAACCTTAAATTTAGAACTTCAAATTCCACCTAAACATACTTCTGGCTAGAGGAAACATTACCACCTCAGATGGATATGCAGATGTCTATTAAGTTGATTTTTACATCTCTGATAATACACAAACTTTTCAAAACTGTTTATTAAAACATATTGCTTATACAATTCTTATTAAACCCTTTTGACTGATTTTATAATAAAACATGACTGTGTCAGAATGTACGATTTGAAAAACAATAAAATCGATGTTGACTTATTATAACATGACACATAACATTTCACCTTGACCTCATATTTACGTTTCTTATTCTGCACAGTATATTACAAATTTATCAAAGTCTTCTGTAGGTACACTATTTATCAAAATAGTTCAGTAATCGCTTATAGGCTTGGTTAATAACCTTCTGTATTTTGTTCTATAAATACTGCCAAGTAATAACAACAACAGCCAGATACAAAAATCACTTACAGGCCTGGTAAATAACATTATCAAACTTGTTTAATAAATACTTTAGATAAGAAGCAATAGTAGTCAGATGCTCCATTTATTTTGATATCACAACATAGCTCTATGAGATAAATAACTCATAGAGCTCAAATTTAAAATAATAAATAATCAAAAAAATATCACAGTTGAAATGGATGGATTGATCACTAAGTTGTGTTGGAAAATTCAGGACATCAGAGCTATTTTATTACTAGCTACCAATTTTTGTGCAGATGAACTCTGAGATATGCCCTGTGTGGAAAACAATGCTGTTTTTTCTCTCCTTCTTTCTAATTCAGCCCAACGACTCTCTTCTAATTCCCTCTGAAATACAAACAATGTATGTTAAATTGCCAAAGACTTCATTGGATGTTTGGAAAATAAGGCTAATTGACAAACATAACATAATTTCTTTAGAAGATCTGACAAGATATGACCCATCGGTACACTACCTTCCTAAAAACTAGAGTATGGGTTTACTCATCCTTTGAGAGTTCATAATACCACACTGGACATATTCTAATATATCATCCCCTTCAAAAAGTCCACCCTGATGATATTAGAACACCATTAGAACTTTGCTAGTCTAATTTAATTGTTTTCATGGTTTTTTTTCCATCTCAAAGTATTTTTGTGACATGGTATGACACATTGGTGTCACTAAAAGACCCCAAAATACAGCGAATCTTCTAAATACTTTTAAAGCTTTACCTTCTGTTTAATGAGTGTTTTAGTTCTACTTGCAGAACCAGGTTTGGCTCTGATTTTACTATAACCCTTTTCTCTCTGTCTTTCAGCTTTCTTTTCTTCTAATTTCTTCTGTAATTCTGTTAGTTTCTCATCTTTTATTTCAGGTTTCTGATTTTTGTTCTTCTTTTTATCTTCCAACCTATAAAGAGATTAATATAAATAGTGTTTTAGTTCAACATTAAATATTCTGATATAGAAATTGTGCCTATACAACATAGAATGAGATTACTGGTTATGTTCAAAGCACATCAAAATCAGCTTTTTGCTAAGCTGAATCACATACAGCTCTTTTAAGCTCAGCATATAAATAACAGTTTCAACGATGTTTCTCTGGTCTATCAAGCTTGTGAATACCCAAATTTTGAAATGTACCTGCTTAAGAATATTGTGTGAATGGGGCTTCAGAATTAAAGGGATTGTAAAGAGGTTTTCTAAACTTTTTATGTGTATCGGTGACACAGAGAGCACCAATTCGCACCATTCTAATTTTCATTCCGATGTCTGTGGTTCATGCAATTCCACTAAAACTAACACGTTTTATGACGTCACTAGAGGGGAACCGCATATATATTAATAGTAGCTTCCCTCTTGTTTTAGTGGAATTGCAAGAACCACAGACATCGGAATGAAAATTGGGATGGTGAAAATTTATGCTATCAGTGTCCCCAATATACATAAAAAGTTTAGAAAATCTCTTTACAATCCCCTTAATTGTCTCAATTATTAATTTAATATATAAAGTGAATATAATTTACCTTTCAGCAGCAGATCTTGTTTGTTGTGTTCTATGTTTACAAATTGTTTCTAAAGTATCTAATAATAATTGATCTTTAGCCTAGAATAAAGCATCAAAATGTGAAATTTTACCATTTATCTGATTTTAACATAACAATTAAAACAATGTTACGAAAATACAGGCACAAGACTGATGAGATGGGCATTATTGCACATTTTGTAGTACACAGTGCCCTTGTTTTAGTACAGCCAATACAATTGGCTAGAATCCTTTCTCATGTCAATCCTGTTACCTGCATCATTGAAATGAAAAAGAAGGAATATTCAATAGTACTATGCATGATTCAATCATCAGCTAGCATAGCAATCATTTTAAAAATATATCAATCAATTCACAAACCTGTTTACTAGCTAGAATATCATCTCTCTTCTTTTCTTCTTCTTCTTCATTAGCTGTTCTTAATATTGACAACCTTTCTCTTAGCTACAACATAAAATAATCAAACTGTTTTAAAGGTTTGTGATATTTTTCATGTTCATCTTATGAAAAGAACTTTAAACAATGATAAACTTAGTAAAGGTGATACATTTTACTGAAGTTCAAACTTTTCATGTTTATTTTAAACCATTTCTAGTGTGTGCAGCTAACTAAAACTTCAACACATAATACTGTTTTTTTATTTTTAATAGACCAAAATCTGTCATCTGTGTCTGGTTTAAGTAGACACTATCTAAGATTTGAGGAACAGCTAATATCTAAAACATTCTCACCTCAACAATAGACATTTCACTGAGTAAACCCATACCAGCTGTTGATGTTAGATCTACAAACTTAAATCTTATAACTGGTACAGCTTCCATAGCCCTGATCTGAGCTATTAACTCCATCTTTTTTCTCATATCTTCTTCAGCCTTAAATCAAGAAATAATTATTATTAACTAAGTCCTTTTCAAAGGAACACAATCACAATATGTATGACAAATTGTTTTTATTACTAACTAGTTATAATTCTCAAGAATGTTAAAATAAAGATTTGTTCTTATCCAGCTATTCTATAAATCTCTTGATACTATTATGTCCTGGATTATCTGTACCCATGTACTGCTGGGTCAATAGAACTACATCACAGTCACCAAATTTACACATTTGAAACAGAAATTTAACAAATTTTAAAGTTTTCAAAAATCCATTTTAAGTTCCAAAAGTTCTAAAACAATGATATCAAAAATATTTTCACCTTTTCTAAGGCTTGCCTCATTAGTTCTTTACTTTCTTCATTTACTTCTTGTACTGAAAAATATTTAAATTATTTAACATTAGTTATCTTATTAATCAACAACACATAAACTAACAACTATCAAATTGAAAGCAATTTATATTTGGGGCATTTATGAAAATTCAAACATTGAATACATGATATACTTCATAAATTTTATATTTTAACAGAAGAAAGAAAAATATTACCTATAGATTGTTTATATTCCTGTAATTTTCTCTGTACTTGTTTTATATTTTTATGACCTTGCATTGTTTGTTCTACCAACGTCCTGGAAGTATCAAATAGAAACTAAACATGAAAAACATGAAAACACAAACTTTTTATAGACCTCCACAGGCCTTTGAAAACATTCATTTTTCAAGTGTTTGAAAATGCAGACATTAATGTGATCTATGGGACATAACTCTGGTTTGCTCTTGACTAAGACAAAATCTACAAGAGTAAAAATAACAAACCTCATTTGTTGTTCTTCTTTAAATCTTTTCTCTAAATATTCCTGCATTATTTGTTGAGTCTAAAACAAGGAAAAAGTCAGAGTTTATTTAGTAGGCTAATGAGTAATAAGGCCATTATATAACATAGGTATGATCTCTCACTACCTTTCATCAACTCACTGTGCATATTTGAATTATGTGATTACTTTGTAATTTTTTCCAGAATCCATTAAATTTCTCATCAAATTTATGTATTCCAATGCTGAAATTCTTGTGACCTAGGCCAGTGCTTCTATAGGAGTTATCTCTTTTAACACCTTATACCAGGTTTTGATGATACCATAACAAGTACTTTGAAGTGTCCCCTCCCCCCAATCAATGCTCTTTTATTTGCAGTCTTTAATTCTTTGAATGCACTTCAAAATTCATATTATTTTTTATCATTCAGCAATGGTGAGATCCTGTATATAAATAATAAACAATAATAAATTACCTCTTCCTTCATTTCTTGAACTCTTTGTTGGTTTTCTTTTGCCAGATTTTGACGAGCTAAGATGGCTTCTTCATAACTTAGCTTTCCTTCAAGCCTTCTTCTTTCTATTTCTGATAACTGGACTTCATAATCTCTTTGCCTCATCTCAGATTGCCATTTTAAAAATGGTGTTGTATCTTTAGCACCAGCCTCTAAGTTCTCTAATCTGAAGAGAAGATAGTAAAATGATACAGAAACTTATAAAACAAATCTACAAAATCATGATATGTCAACATCTAAACCTTCATACTATTTCTTATCTTTCCTATGTCCCAAATTGTGTTTTATGTGTTTTTGTTTGTTAGTTTGTATTTTTGTGCATATTTATCATCCTTTGCTACAGAGTGTAATGGCCTTTCTATTACAGTATTTCAGGGATACAAACCATCAGAAATGGGTGGCAACAATTAGTGTTTCACATTTCATATGGGTATATAAAAATGACCTGCTGAAAAAATAAGTACTGGTATTCTTACTTTTTTATGACTTCATCTTCACGTTTTTGATATAACAGACCTTCTCTTAATATACTAGCAGTATTTAACTTGACAGCCTTCTCTTTAGTCTATCAAAATATAATGTAAAATGTGATCTTGGTAGAATCAAATTAACTGTTATTTCTTGCAAAAATAAAATACTGCACTGATTCAGGATTTTGGTTCTGTAAATATAGGTAAAGTGAAAAAAATATTGGCCTTAGGGCGAAAACTGTGGAAATCTTATTCATCTTCATACATGGCTTTATACTTCATGTCTTAATCTAGTCTAAAATTGTAAGCTTTCAAAAACAAAGTCAAAGTCTTGAAAAAAAAAGACTATACTAAGACATGCAGTCTACAAACTTATTTGTATACTTGTTTGATGGCAGAAGACATAAATAATGGGTTTATAACATCAAATGCACCATAAAATATAGGTGTCTATTTATCAACACAGTAAATAGGTTAACAGAACCCATATACAATAAATGACAGAAGACAAGCCATATAAAGGTGAAACAAAAGGCAAAATATGTCAGCTTCTTTTTTGATCCCCATTCTGAATTAAAAAAAAATTCAGGGTAAAAAATATTTAAAAAGGACATCTTCATTACTTATTCTTATGATATAATTGTTTCTATTTTGTTCTGTTTTGTTTTTTATTGACAAAAGTTGAATTAATGGTCATCACTAAACCACGCTTTTTCATATTTTACTTTCTTACAAAGAAAAACATAATCCCTCTTAGTAACCTGATGGGTTTATAAAGACAAGCAACAGTTTATGAGGTGGTTTGTCTTTACAAACCCATCAAGCTACTTTTTAAACAGTTGTCCTTATAGCAATTCTCTTACAAGTTGTAGCGATATGTGTTGGTTTGTGGTACCATTTGATCAAATACTCACAAATGTACTTACAAAGGAAGGTGTCTTGCTAGCTTTATGTTTATCAAAATCCAGTTTTGCATCTTCTTTTGCCATTATATTAGACATTATTTCTTTAGTTTTCTCAGATTTTTCTGTATTGGCGCAAGCAAACTGTTTCCTGGATGCTTCTATTAGATGCTCCTAAAAAAGCATAAAAATATGAAGTTATTCAAACTGAATTACCTTTTTGACCTCAAGAGAAGCAGTAGTGGGGCCTAAATAGTTTGTACACCTTATTACTAGTAAATTTATAAAGTTTATACATTTTTGAACCAAAATTCTTATGACTTTGTTGAATTTGATGTTCAATGCAATAAGTAATTTGGCAGGCGTTGGGCATAATCACTCTTCTGCAACACCTGACGGAAATCTATGATTTGGTTGGGCAACTTGATTGCCCCTTAGATAGTTTTAACTCTTGCCTTTTCATTGAGTTACTGAATAAATGTAGACTATGCTGTCTTAGCCAGCTAGAAAATGTAATTTGATGGTGTACCTCAGCTATCCTTCTATTTATTTCCTTAGCTTCATTTAATCTGTCTATTTCTGTAGGAGTTCTATAAATATGTTTAGGTACTGGTTTATGCGGAGCGAGTTTAGGGATCTAAAATAAAACAAAGTAATTCTTACAAGAGCTTAGAGTTTAGAAGGGATATATTTTCTCAGTACATGTATATGTATTATCATACCAGTGGAAGGAGCTAAACTTCAACTACCTATAGTAACATCCAGATGAAATCATCTTAAACAGGCCTCACACTACACGATTTTACCTACGATTGTGTATATTACGACACTTCAAGACATCATACAGCAAATATGTTGTATTGTATAGCAGGCTATCATGCTGTCCATTCTCTCACACTACACGATGTAATGTAGCAAGCCATTTTGCGTCATCAACCTTGACAAAAATGGAATGAGACCTTGAGGCTTCTGGGGTCTTTAATTATCCGTGCACATAACAAAAGACAAACCAAGAAAAGGATACGGACATGTCCCTGGCATGCAAGGAGAAAGGAGTTTTGTGCCATTGTTTAATGCGGGAACTGAAGAATGAAGACATCCCTGGACATTCCAACTTCACCCTATATCAAATAATATTGCAAAAGCCATGTTCCAATCGATCAATCAATCTGTCATTCTTTCTAGGCCACACCTGTGTCAGGCAACAATTTGAATTCAGAGTGGCAACCAATGGAATTGGGCTAGGTTATCACAGCGTATGTGTGCTACCTATGATTGGCCACGATTTCATTATATTTTTGGACATTTTCAAAACTCTACGCTCAGACAAGACGCCCTGCGCGCCCATGATCGTGTGCGTTGTTGTGTCGTACACACCATCACAATACACTACATCATAGTGAAATCGCACAGTGTGAGGCCTAATTTACAGATTAAAGACATGTAAGGGTTAATCTTTTGCCTATTCACCATCTCCATTAAAATCCATTAACAACATTTCAAATGCTCTTTTTGATCATTGACATAATAAATGAAAATGTCTTATAATAAAATATTTTTTTTAAAAAGTATGCTGATAGTGTGAATTGAAATACTGTGTAAATTATCTTTCAAGTTAAATATTGTCTTATCAAATTTCATGTCATTAAACATGTAGGCCTAATGTCACCATAACCTATATCAGTACAGAGATATAAGTTTAACATTAAATTGAAATGCAGAAAAGGTTTAGATTTAAGAATTTTGAATGTGCTTATATATTTTAAGCTTCAACTCAGACTGGGATTAAAATCACAGAAGCTGTTGACATTAGACAATCTGCTAACTTTTCAAGTCATTATTTTAATATTAGGATACATTGCACTAGTGTCGTCTTGACCCAGTAAATCATGATATAAAAAAACTTAGAAATATGTTAACCATTTTGAGGTTAGAATTTATAAAATCAATGACAAAGGTATATCATGTTTTAACTGACAACTGTAACATTGGAATGTCAACAAAATTCATGACATGTTTTTATGAATATTCTAAATACTAGCCTGGTTTTAAATATGACAACAACAAGTTATGAAACTTTTAGTGTCAATATATAGAGCAGATGCACATTTACACTTTTCAGTTTTCACATGTATAATAGGCGCATCATAAACCGCAATTATGGGTTTCTTGGTTCTCAATGTGACTAGAGAGATTTGTGAACATTGATGTCTATTAAACATCATTAATTTAGTCAGTTAGTCAAGTTTTATCTTGAGTAAGAAAAGTCTTTAAGAAAAGTCTTGAATTAAAATGGAAAATGCAGAGCTTCATGATGTCACTTTCTGGTTTACTCTGATAGTCTAGTTTAGTATTATCATAAAGTATACTGATACTTACTGGTTCTGGTAATGGTACCATTCTGGCTCTCGGTTGAGTTATATTGAATGGTTTGATTTCTGAAAATAAGTATATATAATTAAATCACGATTCCGTTTACACGGTATCACGCAATTTGATTGGATAACAGCAGTCACATGAATTCGGTTTATATCTGTGTAAACGGAATGTAAATATAAGCTCCGCCCCTTAACGGACTATTTTTATCATTGAGTTTGATTGACGTGGCGTAGGAGAGGGTACTATAGGCGAAAGCCTGTTCGCTAATCGTATTATGTAAATAAATATTGTTTATATAAAAAAACACTTCACTGAATGATTACGTTATTTTCGAATGTGCATACTCTAAATATCAACAAAATCATGATTTTTGAACTTAATTCGAACCTTGACTTTCAATAATTGAACTTTAAATGTGGCCGCTCCGTCAACTTTCAAGCAGTAGACAGTAGACTATAAATAGGTGACCTACTTATTGCTGATTGGCTGTTCTCTACCAAGTCTCTATCGTTAGTATCAGTTCATTAACGTTATGTTAAAATTTTAGGTATTTATGCGCCAATTTTGTGCCCTAGTTTGTTGCTATTTTAGATACGCGGATTTAAACAGTATACACAGGTTTTTTCTGTTTATACATCGATAAACTGAAAAAATGTTCAGGTCATTCCTTAAGTGTTTTATTTATCAGTACATATTTGTACATAGCTGGCTGAAATATTCTGACTAAAAACACCTAAAACTGAGTTCAAATTATATTAAAAAATTTGATTTGCAATTTATTACACCAAATTTCAATAATGGTTAAAGTTAAAGTCAAGTTAAATTTTGATGTGCAATAAATAGAAATTCAAAATGTTCCAACTGTAGATCTTAGATTGATCTTGCCAATGACGTTAGTTCCAGAAGGTATTAGAGACTGCCAAGAGTTTCTGTATATTTCTAGATTTGGCAGACAAATCTCACGAAAAATATACACTTTGATTCACAGATTGTCTTGATAAATTTCAATTTTGGCTAATCATACAAAATTTTGGATCGTAAAAGGGGTTATTTTTTATCTCAAACTGCGATACAGTACCCTGTACTATGTTATACAAACTTTGTAGATCAAAATTCTAATGTATTTAAGTAAACTCAATTTCCGCCAAAATGGAGATATTACCATATTTTTTTTTTCTGAAAATCAGATCAACAGACTTATTTAAGGACAACATTAAAGATAATGTACTATAAAAAGTTTGAATATATTCAAGTTTCACCATTCATTTGACACTAATAAGTTACTATACATACCAGTATTTTTGGTTGTTGATTTCTTGGGTTTAACTTTATTTTCAATTCTGTCTCTCATCTGGGTTAATATATCAGTTAATTCAGGGTGCCACCTGTTAACATAATAAAAATGATAATATAATATTAATTATATAAACAGCAAAATATAATGATGATACATAGTAATAAGGGCTATATTTGATTATAATAATTTTCTAGAATATTTTTAAAGTATTGAATCATGAAGTTTTTATATTTCATTTGATAAACTCGTTAAAATGTAATTTATCATGTAAATTGAGATCCATCTAGAAATATCAACTTTTATCTGGAATTTCAACATTTTGATAAATCTAAATAGTTTATCATAATTTCTATATAAAAATATATGTTATATCAAAATATTAACAATAAGTTTTAAATGTTTTGGTGTGGATAAAAAGTCTAACCTAATGACATGCGGTGTGCAGTGAGAGATATTTTGCAGATAAGTACTATAAGCCAAGTCTTTTTTGATTCTCAACTCAAAGGGTTTTGGTTTTATGTCCAATCTGAATGACAAGATGGTTTTTTTATGCCAATTCACCAATTATTAGGGTGAAAGGTATCATGTCAACTTATGCATGGATCAGGCTCAGGAGTCTCATTTTGTCAAGCAAGTGTCTGATTCAATTACCATGGTAAAAAATCTTACCTTAATAAGGGAGAGAGTAGTATAGTTTGAACAAAACTATGTTCATATAATTTACACCAGGAATCTTTTATCCATGTTAATAAGTTCCTTTCATCCAGGAAAAAATTTAAAAACTGAAAATAAAATGTTATATACAATCTTATATATATTAATGAACTTTTTCATCTTTAGACATACAGAAATACTGTTTTTAGATCAAGTTCTTCAGCAGAAGTGTAATGTACCAATAATATGTGCTCACAAAAGCAAATTATAGTTGAGCAAATATATTTGTGTCACACCCCTTTTTGAGGTAGAATAATTTGTATTTGAGACAATGTAAAATATATGTGTATTCTGATCATTATGTTTTAAGCTACCTACAGTGGATTGCTTGTGTTTTATGTAAGTACCTGTTTTATAATTCAAGAATGTTGATATCTAATTTGTCAATACCTTAAAAACTCTGTTGATATCTTGTGAATAAATAAATCTTCTAAATTGTGAAATTCCTAATTCGTCTAATCTAAACAACATCAAATAACAGAATACTGAAAGAAATGAAAATATAATTAGAACTTCAAATGGCTGCATGTGATATGATACTTTCTGCCAAAAATCTCTAAATCAATCAAATCAATTATCTCGTCTCGATAAACATCATCTGCAAGCAAGTGTAAATCAGTTATTTTGAAATAAACCAAATTTCTTTGTTACTCCATTCAACTCAGTATTGTTATAAAAGGGAACATATAATCAAAGAAATATCACTACTAAGAGGTTTGGCCAAGGACCAGCTGATAGACAGAATCAAGAACATAAGTTCTTATCTTAATCAAATATGTTTGTTTCTTGGGTTTGTGGATGCTGTTTCCTACTATAGCAATATTTGTATGTGACATATTCAGTAGCCACATAGTTGTCTATATCTGCATTATGAAAATGGCATGTAGCAATAAATTTTTTCTCTAAATTTCTAAAAATTTATAACATGTGTACATATTTTATAAGCTTAGTCAGAAAAAAATATCACACCTGCAAAATATCTACAAAGATCATACCTGAATATAGACTGCGTTCAGATTTTAAAGCTATTTTGCCATCTTTAATATAGAAACCATTGACTACTGTATCTATAACAGATATATATCTGATACAACCAGTAAATACTTCTATTATAAATGCCTTTATATCTTCTTCATATATCTACAATACATCAATAATAAACATTTTATATACTATATAGAACTGATGGTTAGATCTTGGTTTTAGTTATCAGCTTAAAGCTCTAGAATCAAAGTCCAATATCTTTATTGAATTTTGACTCCACTAGATCATTTACATTTCCTAGATTTTTCTGTTCACAGGTCCTATTTGGAGAACACAAATATTTTTTTTCCTCATATATATAATGCCTGTAATGATCATAAAGAGCAGTTGAAATACTATGTTCAAATTTGTGGTCAACAATATGAATTTAGACTTCTGTTTATCACTTTGGTAAAATAAAAGTATAGGTGACATCTCTTTTTGCCTCTACCTCTAGCAATGTTGTGAGTGGTGGAATCCTGAATCTGTTTTTTACCTGATAGTTGTTAAAATACTGTTCAATATGTTCTTCTACAGAGACCATGCCACTATCATAACTATCTACTATACACATGCAGTGCTGTAGAATCTGATTGTGATTTAAAGACATGCTGACTTCTACAAACATAAAATAATGTGCATGAGAAATAAGCAAAGAATTACCACTGATTATATATTAACTATTTCTACAAATGAAATAAGTGAATGTGCAATATATTACATAAAATTGACTGATAAAAAGAAGAGTATAGTCCTCAATGTGACATTTCATAAAACATATCATCAAAAAAATAGACTGATAAAAAGAAGAGTATAGTCTTCAATGTGACATTTCATAAAACATATCATCAAAAAAATTGACTGATAAAAAGAAGAGTATAGTCCTCAATGTGACATCTCATAAAACATATCATCAAAAAAATTGACTGATAAAAAGAAGAGTATAGTCCTCAATGTGACATTTCATAAAACATATCATCAAAAAAATAGACTGATAAAAAGAAGAGTATAGTCCTCAATGTGACATTTCATAAAACATATCATCAAAAAAATTGACTGATAAAAAGAAGAGTATAGTCCTCAATGTGACATTTCATAAAACATATCATCAAAAAAATTGACTGATAAAAAGAAGAGTATAGTCCTCAATGTGACATTTCATAAAACATATCATCAAAAAAATTGACTGATAAAAAGAAGAGTATAGTCCTCAATGTGACATTTCATAAAACATATCATCAAAAAAATTGACTGATAAAAAGAAGAGTATAGTCTTCAATGTGACATTTCATAAAACATATCATCAAAAAAATTGACTGATAAAAAGAAGAGTATAGTCCTCAATGTGACATTTCATAAAACATATCATCAAAAAAATTGACTGATAAAAAGAAGAGTATAGTCCTCAATGTGACATTTCATAAAACATATCATCAAAAAAATTGACCGATAAAAAGAAGAGTATAGTCCTCAATGTGACATTTCATAAAACATATCATCAAAAAAATTGACTGATAAAAAGAAGAGTATAGTCCTCAATATGACATTTCATAAAACATATCATCAAAAAAATTGACTGATAAAAAGAAGAGTATAGTCTTCAATGTGACATTTCATAAAACATATCATCAAAAAAATTGACCGATAAAAAGAAGAGTATAGTCTTCAATGTGACATCTCATAAAACATATCATCAAAAAAATTGACTGATAAAAAGAAGAGTAAGTTTATCATCGAATAATATCTATTACCTAAGTTTCAATACATATTCAAGTCAAATTTGACATCCACAGCTGTACAAAAAAAAAAATAATCAATGAATAACTTTGTTGATCATATATATAGTACATAAAGGATCATTTTATGATTAGGCCTATGTGGAAATATTTGTATTTAAGCTAATGAAATATGCATAATTTTGTAAATGGTAATCGATTCACTAACAATAAGTTTGGAGCATGTTAATCTAACATCAAAGTCAATATAAAGTCAGAACTCTGATGATAATGGTATGGTATATCATATCAAACTTATCAAGTGATAGATAATTTATCAAGTTCAGATAATAAATTATTCTTATATCAGATAATTTTTACAACGTGGCATAAAATTTAGAGGATAGCAGTGACAAAGAAATAAAAATGTCTAACGGTACTGGTGTGGTAAGATATTTCTATTTAAATTTGATGGGAACTGTGTACATAGACCTACTTGATTTGATCTGCAAGTTCTTAAAAATGTTCTTGATTTATTTCTTTGCCAGTTGGACAGAGTATTTTATTTATTTAATATTCTTTGGCAATAATGAAGTGAAAAAATGTTCCAATTAAAACCAGATCAGGCACTTGTCATTGGCTCATTTACTGATAAAATATAAATTGCTATCTGTAGATGTTCTTTTCCTATAAACATAAGGTTACTAATTGGTTGGATTAATTAAATTGTTTTTATACTCCAAAATTATTCAAATCATGGTCTTCTTAAACAAATAGTATTAATATATAGTTTAATGCAATTATGAATCCATGAAAATTGGACTGATTTCATATTATTTTATGCATAGCCTTTGGGAATTTTTTAAAACCAACAAGATAAAATGAAAAAAGTTCTTGAAAGGATACTAAAATTAAAGTAATTTCACCAGGCCTGACATTTAATTTCAACATTTCTTCCAAAACATCAAAGATCAAATTAAAGTCTGACTTCAGATGACTAAAAATAACCTCAGCCATAACTATCACAAATAAAAGTTTTGTCTGCTATTATTACAGCCTCGTAAAATATCAGCATCATTACTAGCAACAATTGAAGAACGTAAAGGTCTTTTGGAGGTAAGTGATTTAAACTTTTTTTTAAATTCATTCTTTTAAAATCTTGTTACCAGTACTGTGAAACTAGGACAATAAGAAATGATGAGTATAACAATGTTCTGCTATTAATAATAAAGCGTACAGTAAGCTTATTAGGCCAACCTATATACTGCTAAGTTATATATTCTATCACATGGTAACTAACTTTCATAACCTAAGATTTTCTGAGATAGTCAAGATCGGTAATATCAGCACAGGCTTTACATCTACATATACAAAGCTCAGCCTGTTAGTGGCAATTGTCCAAAATTTCATGATCCATTATTAAAGGTCTTATTCAGATATTGAGCTCTATAAGAGGGTATTAAACATAGCTCCATCTTTGACAATGATGCAAACTCAGATCTAAAACTTACTGACTGAATATTTCTAGTCTATAATATGCTATTATGCTTAGTTATCATTAAATTGATCTTAGCTTGAATCTATGATGGATAGGTGCCATACGTAGAACCAGATTTAGACATTTATAGGACATATATATAGTGTTGAGCGATCAAGATACTGTGTGGTAAAAAGCTTGATTTTGGAGATGAGAAAAGAGTTGTACATAGGCCTAATTCTTTAATGAAATATCATTGTTAAAAATCAGTGCCATATGATATATTATGATGCAATGAGTTTTGTCTAAAATCTCTTTGAAGTCCAGATAGAAATATTAGCTTTTCTTTCTTTAGTTTGTTTCACAAGATTCATAAATAAATGCTGTGAAACTTTCTTAGGTTTTTGACATATAATTTTGTCTTATACATGACAGCACATAAGGCCTACCTTAATAGTTTATTTTTTCGGTGAAAGAATCCAGATGATTGTTATGAGTTCAATCCAGAATGGAAGCCGCCATATTGATATTGCCAGGGAAACGTAAACAAAAAAGGAATGAACCTTTTATCGGCAACCAACGTTTTCACAAAAAAAGTGATATTATACGATCACTTACGTTAAGATAAAGTTTAAGTACTTACATACTTAAAACTCCCTAAATCTACACTTTAAACAGAGATATGTACATATATCACTTAGAAATTGATATAAAACTACTAGAAACTCTATTTGTTTACACTTTTAGTCGCCATGTTGTTTATATGAAGTCACGTGACTGACAAATACAGAAATTTATCATTTTTCCGTAATCCTCCTCCTGATTTGATTCCATATCAAATTAAAGATTTAGGAACATGTTGCGTTTTAATGATTAATTTGACTGTTTGGATTTCAAATTTTTTAATAATGATCGTTGATTTCCGTATGCAAAATAGCATGCAAATGAGATTCCGGAGATTTTTCATTAAGACTCGATCTTTGAGTCTCTTAGTGTTCACTGCACAAAATGAATAATTTGACAACCGAGACTAAAGTTATAGCGTCGTTCTGGATAAAGTGGTAAATACATTCAGTAAGCTTTGTGTTGGATAGAAAGCAGGAACCGAAATTGAATTGTGCACATAGTATTCCTGGTAGTAGCAGCTAAGATGGAACCGTTGGAAGTAAGGAATTTTTAAAAAAGAAATCATGCTATGTGGTTGTCAAATTATCATATTACCGGAGATTATTGAATTTTGCGGCCGAAAATTAAGCGAAATTGACCATTTGCATTCTAAAGTCTTGTAATTCTTCTGGCCAATTCCACAGACTGGTGCTTTGTTTGGCATCCAAATTGCTTGTTTACTTTACGTGGTTTGCTTTCTATATTTACAGCAAAGAGAAATATCTGCTCCTCGAGTTGGAAGATTTAAGGTTTATATTCAGGTAAGAATGTACTTTGATTGATTCTATAGATTGCATGCATGCAACACATTACAAGAAAAAACCAAACTAATCACTCACTCCATACAACAATTGAATAAATGCCAATTTGTAAACCTACATACATTTCAAATTTTTTAATTCTTAAAGGAAAACATTTCAAAGTTATCACAATAATTATTACCAATTCCTGTCTAAAAACATGAAAATGTTGAAAAATGGATTTTTTGATCATTTTGATGAATGTGGTTTGACTTTCAAGAAATACCATCTGTTGAGGGAAACCACAAAATAAAACCTGATACATGGCCTACTTAGCCAAAATCAATATCATTTGTATTTTAGTTGTGCATTTTTATTTGAGCTCTTCTCAGAACAAGGCCAATAACAGGTTGTTTTAAGACAAAGTCAATTTGAAGGAGAAAATACCAGAAAATTTTATTTTGTTAGAAAAAAATTTCCAGAAAGTAAATGTTTTTCTAAAGTTAAAGTGGTTGTAGATTATCTTCTATAAACAAAGTGTGGCTAAATTTATAGTTAAAAAGATATTTATATATCCAATATAGGAGGAAATTAATTTGATTCATTCATATGATAGAACATTGACCAGTTCATTTCCATGATCAATCAGAGCATGTAAATGTATTTAAAGTACCTATCTTTTTCTTAGCACACATTGTAGAAATACCAAATGATTTTATAAGCTAAAGAGATTAAGAAATATACTGAAACAGTTCCTATATTTCTATAGCTGATGCCCTCAGTTATCGTCATGCCAAAAATCTGCTTAAAATCGTATCGAAGATCTATAGCCTAAATGGATTTCACAATAAACAATTTTTGATTTAGGTTTTGCATTGAACTAAGAAAGCACTAAATCAATGTTTATTTTCAAATTGCATTATTTTTCAATGGAATCTAAACATTTTTGTTACATTTTCTGTTTCACTCCCTCAAGAATTATGTTAGAAGACCTTCAATTATTTAACAACAGACTAACAGAATATTGATATGCATGTTATATTACTATAGGAAACTAAAATACACTAAAATAACATTAAATTGGTTGGCTGCCAAATGTTTAAAACTGTGATTCTCCTTCAATTTTTCAAAACATAGTTCACATCTGCTTAGGAAGTCAAATGATTGTTTACATTCTATATTATGTCACAAAAAGCTGTCATTGTTGATAGACCTGTTTGTAAACAATGATGAAATGTAAACACGTGATTGAAGTGTTTTGTTGACAAGACAGTGGTTGTTAAAGACAGCATGTTGACATTGTTACCCATTCTGCACATGTGATTGATATTTGAGAAGAAAGGTTGAGCTGATAAAAATATGTCCTTGTCCTGCATTTTCTAAATGGACCTGTGACTATTTGCAATAAGTGCATTAAGTTAAGTTATAGTGAATTATAAAGCATGCAATCTCTTTCTAATATTATTTAGATTCAAGTGAATCTCTACGTGAGCCTATAATATTATTTACAAGGCTCAATTAACTAAATAAACTATCTTCAGATAAGCAATTAGATTGCAAAGGTTTGAATCCTTCTATAGACTAGAAAGGGCTCAACTTTTACAAGATCTCGTATTAGGGTCTTAAGTAAATATTCATGATGTCATATGATTTTCAAACCAGCCAATCAACACACTTTTACATATGATTTGCTTTGCAAATATGAACACATGTAAATCAAAATGTCAGTATTTCATGAGGATGGGCATGGTATTTCCTCTTGAGAATTGTCCCCCGTCCTTTTTACCTATAAACGGGTATGATTGGACCTTAAGGTTATGGCTTTTATCAATATATCCACCTGTTTAAATTACGGTGCAGTGTATTTAGATAAATATTCTAGCTTACTCTGGTCATAGTATTTCTAGTAGATTCTAGTAAGGTCAAGGTTATGTTTGTATTGATTGACAATACTCCTTGCCTTGATTTATGGTCAAATTAAATTGTTTCTCATTGACTAAGTTATGAAAGAGAATTGTTATTCATTTCCTTTAATACAAGCTTGGGCCATTATTATTATATTATGAGTTCACGCCTGTTGGTTTAGTGTTGCCTACTTATATGTACTATGTAGTTATATTCTTAAGATTGGTTGTACTATAATTGATATATGCACAATGTCACAAGACGGACGGGCGGATCCTAAATTTCCCCCCTGTAAAGGAAAACAAAGATAATTGTTAACATATTTACATACAAAACAAATTAACATACATAGTTAAATCGTAAGAATCAAATCTAATGAATGTCTAGTGATCACACAAGATAATGTTCGCACACACGTGAAGTTCCGCACTACCTCCACAAAATATAATCACAGTTTATCCAAATATTTTCCTTGTAGACATCTAGTTAAGTCCTTGTGTACTGGTATAACAAACGAAGTTACCATTTATGAAAACCATCTCATTCCCATGAAAGTTTAGATCTTACATTTATCAATGACGTAACGATATTTCAACTACAGCTTATATACATCAAAAACATAACTACAGCATTTTGTCATGCGAGTACTCATACACACTGATTCTCACCATAAATCAATAATAACCATTTTCTACTGAAGGCCCAATTTCACCTAGTAGTAGCCCAATATGCTTATACACCTAGAAGCATTCTACTGAAAGATACTATTCACCTAAAAGTATCAATTAACCAACACCAATTCCATCCTAAGACACCTAGCATAAGATTCACTCAACATCGTAACCAATTGCCGAGTAACAAAATGACAAACATAAAAACCTTATATAGCACTCTTGCACACAATGCACGGACTTTCATACAATCTAATACTCACATGACAAACCTCTCGAATATCAAGACACTAAAATAACAATACTTTTATTAACATGTAAATCGTATCTACATTAGTTTGCGCGAGTCGTAGAGGTACGTTTGCGCGAGCCACAAATATGCGTTTGCGCGAGCCATTAATATGCGTTTGCGCGATAAAACTTAATAATTTTGTGACACACAATGTCAAACCAATAAAGTTCTTAAGACAGTCTGAATGTGGACACATTGAAAATGGTTTGCCTATAAACAGTTTGAATCAGATTGACCTTTTGACCTTGAATTTCATGGCCTTTAGTCCTCTGATTGTAATTTGGTATTTCACATTGTGAAATGATGGTACCAGCTTTTATTCTATAATTAGCTATTTCTCATATATTGACCTTCACTTTCAATGATAGTTTTTTTATGGCCTTATTGGACTAATAAATACAAGCTACATTATGCTGTGATCAGTGAAAGCAGGACAAGGGCAATAACTATCTATCTCTTTTGTCATGAAATCCTAGACAGACACATTAGGTTTTTTTCCTTTCAAAAGGCTGATTAAAAAATTCAAAGGAAGTCTTTTGTCTAAGTGCCCCCTATCAGAGTTAGGAAGCACCTTACATATTGACTAACTGAGCACAGCATCTTTTAACACTGACAAAGTATTGTAGAGCTCTTTGTATGCAGATAACTAAGATGATTTTTATGCAAAATTTAGTTTGATTTATGTGTCCGATGGTTTGCATACATTATTCCATATACCTAGAGCTTTGTTTACACATCAAATTACAAGACAAACCAAGCATAACAATTGAAATTTGAATAGATAGATAGTAAATAAATAAAAGCAATAAAACTTGTTATTATTTGTTAATATTCCACCTGTAAACGTGTTTACAATTTGAAGTGTCAGATAGTAATATAGTTACAGTATTTATGAAATATGCCAGCAGGGCCTCGTTCCACAAAAAATCTTTTTTGTTGTAAATGCGGTATTTCTCAATGCAAATTTTACACTTAGTAAGATAATGCTGTTGAACACATGAAGTTTTTGTATAATTATATACTTTACTGTGATAAAGAGCTATAATTCCAAATGATCATATCATGACAAATATTATCATAATGACTTCCTTATACCAGCAAACCTGTCTATAATGATTCTAAGGAAGTCTGAAAATTTACATTATATAACTAAAAGTCTGTCAATATCTTTTCATGACAAATATTTCAATAATAACTTCCTTATACAAACAAACTATCAATGCTTCCAAGGAAATCTGAAAATGTACATTTTGACACATAATATAAATTACTTTCAAAAACAACAGAGGTTGATGGATGGAAATGAGTTTTCTTATCCAATTCATTTTACATGTAATTCCAAACTTTTTGTTCAAAGAATATAAAGATTTTTCATTTAGATAAAAAGTTTAAATTACAATGTAATGATGTTGCTTTTTCAGGGTTAATGTCCTATTGACTTGTTGACCTTAGGGATTTCAATTCTGAATTGGCCTATAACTTATTCTTGACATAAATTGAAAACTATTTAATATAGGTAAAAGGAAAAAGCATCCTAGGATGAGACAACAAAATAAGACTATTCATGTTTTAGGTTGTGCACCATCCTTTGATAGTTAGAAATCAAACAGGAGTAGTCAAATGTAGGCCACTGTGCTGACCAAATTCCTCTCATGAATTGCACACATCTTGGCATTTCTTTATCAGCCTAATAATGTTGTGAAAGTAGGTTATGAAGCTCCCTTTCATTACTATCAACAACAATTTAATCCACAATACAAGCTACACAGAATAATGATCTATAGATATTTCATTAAATTTAGAATTATGTGTGTAACAATTCAGTTGATTTTGATACGGTTCCTGCAAGTTGATATAAGCCATATGTTGCACTAGATATTTCATATGATTCTGTTACCTGTAGTTTTAGTGGTAAGAAATGTAAACTATGTTGGTAGTACTTTATATTTCATAGCAATTCTTGTTTTCAAACCTGGTTGCCATGTGCTCTTTTGTTGACAAGAGTAGTTTTAGTCTATAATGCACTACGTGTTCATTTTATAGAAACTTGAATTTTAGTGATTCATCAGTCATATAAAATTATTCTGATTTTTAACATTCTTATTATATTCACATTATATCACTGGTAAATGGGTTAATGTCATTCAGGGTAT